CATTCCATGGGATTTCAACAGAAGTTAACATGGTATTATATTTATACTAATTTTGTTCGTTGTGTGTCTAGAGAACTTATGCAACAATACAATATAGTTAACACAAAATTAGTACTGTAGCATACCATGTCAACAGCTGCAATGCTTCAAAATGTATCTGCTGTGCTGAAGTCGAGAAGACTTTGGCATCAGGAGCTTTAATGTGTTCCCCATTTGTACCAAGATACATTTTGATGTTTTATGGTCTTTCTTTATAGTGAGCTATATTTAGATAATGTCCAGTAGACAAATGCAGTCCCTGATTATTCCCTATCAACTTTTCCCAAGTCGTCTGTTTTGAGACTTACTATAAGTTAAACTTTTATATGTATATAATAGAGAACAGATATCATGGAATTTCTGTGTATGTTTAATAAAATTAAAAGCTGGAGTTGGGTTAGGGTCTTATTTCTTCACAGGCTAACAGAAATAAGTAGAATTTTCTAGTTGAGTCTTTTGAGTTGTTTTAATTTCTTTTTTCCTTTTCTTTAAGGAAAGGTGAATCATTCAACATTTTCTTTTGCTCATCCTAGAAAAATTAAGCTTCATGAAAAATAATAGAACAAAAATTTAAACCTTATATTTTTTTACTCCCAAATGATTCACAAGATTTCAAATTTTGCTGAAGCCTGACTGCTTGGTTTCTTGCAAGTGGCTTTGGATCCAGGAAGTTCTGTGGGTTTCTAGTGTTACACAGAGACATACTGACAACATGTTGAGTCTTTCTCTTCTGGAATGTAATCTATTCCATTGGGAGCTCAGCTACATACAAGGAGAATAAATGTGACCTGGTCAGTCAGATATTTTTAGGCTAGTGAGTAATAATCTCTATGTGCTAAAAGAGAGATTATCCAATCTCTATCAGGACTTGAACACTAAGTTTTCATTAATTAATTAATTCATCTGTTTATTCACTCAACTATTTCTGGGCACTCAGGCAGAATATAATATATCTATATATTTGAGTCCCTTCTTATTCTAATAATTTTTATAAATGAGCTGTTGAAAAATAAAGAGCTTTGCTATCTACGTTAACTCTCCAACATAAGTCAGTTCAATGCATATTTTTTGAGGGCCAACTCGTGTGTTAGATATGTATTAGATACTAAAGATTCATATGGGAATCTGATATCCCCAAGATATATGTTAAATCAACTGATTTTGTGGCCAATAGATTAAGATCCCTAGAGTTTAATTAAGATTCTCTATTTTATCCTTTCTCTAGTTTTCTTCCTTTCTTAGCAGTGATATATATAAATATATTATATTTACCAAATCTTTAAATTTTGAGTCCTATAAAAATCAAGGGCTGGCCATTTCAAAATACTACCAACATACTCCAAGGGCCTCCTCCCTCAGAAAGTCATCCATAATAAGGCAAAGGACTTTTCCAGATCTCAGATTCAGATATACAAGTTCCACCGCTCTCCAAGCTATAGATATATATTGCTATTCATGTTGAAATTTAATAGGCTCAAACTTCAGTTTCCTCAAACTAAGTCCATTTTCCTCTTAGTGGCTGGGTCTGTCATCTGATTGAAAAGCAGTGGACAGAAATTCAACACCAATGTTTCTTCAATGACATAAGTTGGGTGGGGAGATAACAGTTTTTAAAACAATGTGTTGTGTTCTGCAAGGAAGCATGGAAGGGGATAAATAAAGTGAGAGAGAGCCCCCACCCTGAAGCTGCTAACTCTAACAGACAGGTATTGATCCCCTCTGCCTGGGGTGATGCAATTCATCACATCTGAAGAGTGAGCATTTCTTTTTTTCTAAATTTATTTGCTCCATAAAGTATTCTTGGTGAGTGATTTGGATACACAGAGCAATATTTCAGAGGAATATTTAATGCAAGAAGTAGATAAATACTCCTACTGATAACAGAGAGTGAAGAGGCTTGCCCCAGGGATCTGACAGACACAGATGAGAAATACCTACTTACAGCCATCAAGCCTTCTTGTGCATCACTTTGGAAATATCTTTGTAGCTTTCATAAATTCAAAAAAAAAAAAAAAATACAGATCAAAGTTAGAAACCAGTTTCCAGACCTTGGTTTTCACTCCCTGAAAAGAAGGTCCATACTGCCCAAGCAGAAACAGATAATAGTGACATTTACATAACTCTGTGACAAATTCTAAGTCCCACAATTCCATGTGAATATTGAGATTAAAATCCTAGTTTTGAGCACCCTAATTCATTGTCTCTGTTTCTAAAATTTTCCTACTTTTCTAGACCTGATGCTTGATGGAAATATACTATATTTGGCTAATTGTCTGCGCCTTGTTCTACCATACTAGTTACCTTATCTTTTTTCACTTTGTTAGTAAGTTTCTTTTCTACCTGTCTCAGTTATAAGACATTTGACATTACAGGTCACTTCTTAATTAATTTATATCCACATGAACCTCTCACCTTTCAGAAATTTGGGCAGTTTGACATATGATGTAATTCAGGAATTTTTGTCTTCATGTGGGCATCGAGTTGTAAATGAAATGATCTTTCTGATTTAATTTTCTTTAAATCAAAATAGATTTCTAAACTTCTGGTTTTGAATCAGATGTAATCAATGGCCTTTCCCACTCAGAGTCCACTTGAGCACTGGGGGTCACTGTGATTTAGTGTGGCTTAGTCATGTCATATTTAGGAACACTTAAATATTTTTGGAGTTTAGCAGGAAGTAGCCTAAAAACCTTTCAAATCCAATGCATATCAAAGTTCCATTGTGTATTTTACAGTAAGACATATAAAAGAGGATAAATAAAGTCTTAAACCATTAGAACAGGGCACAGGGTAAAAGTTGAATTAGAATTTGTTGACGGAATTTGTATCACTCTCAAAATATCTCATGATCTTAAAATTGGAGATTATTTTTTATATCCTAAACTTAAAATTACTTTAAATAGCTAAAATAATACCTGTAGAATAATTTCCAGTCTATGATTCCATACAATAAATATTGTCCTAACGAAGCCTACATTTTTTTAACAACAAGAATTTTCTGGTTTTCTCTATCCCTTTCTTTTCCTAGGAACTAGATAGATCCTTTTGTGAGTGGCAGGTATGATAGCATTTTCTGAATATTTTCTTTAGCAATTCAGAATTGAACCTTTAAATGATAACTTATAATGAAACTATCAAATGAAAATAATCAGAATACCCAAATAACTATTTAAAAGTGAGGGTTGGGATTATGACTCCTAATTTGCCAATGTTAATTGTGTCCTTTCAGTATCTATTTAATATTTTAGATTTGTTCTTTGTATAGAAACGCTTTCCTTCCCAGATGCACACCTATTGCTCTTAAAATGTGCAGGAAACTCACATTTTATTGTCCTCCTTCCTTCTGTAGATCCAACAAGAAAGATAGATAAGCTGGGGTGTGTTCAAATAACCACTAGGAAAAGGGATTCCCTTGTGAGATGATGGAAGCCAAATATCAATTAATATCTTCAGTAAATTCACATTTGTGACCTGACATGAGGGAATGAAGTACAGAGAATGAAGTACAGAGACGATGATAAAATTCACGTTCCATCTCTTTTCTCTCCCTGAGCCCTGTGGCTCCCCCTTAGTATTTTTGTCTTTGGAAACAGAAATAAACATCAAACCAAATGTATTCTTAGCTTAGCTTTTGTATAATCAAAAACTATCAACTTGCTAAATTTTATATATGCATAGTCTCAAGATTTATTAAAAGTCTTAGAGGCAGGGCTCACAGAGCAGAGAAAACAAATAAAAAGAAATACCTTTTACACTTGAGAAATGGACATGACAGTAGTTAACTATATTGATTCATCCAAGTGTTAACCAAGGGTGCATCGTTCTGATTGTTAATTAACCAGTTTTTCTGCCTTGACTTTTGTTAAATGTCCTTTGACCGAATCTCTAGGGACAACATTTTCACCAGAAGGCAGACAGTAAAAGGAAGTTGAGATGAAACACATCCGTTCATCAATAGGACAGTGCTAACAACTTTCCTAATGTTTGGATGGAGGGAGATGTTTAGAGTAGTGGCAGAAATAAGAGGTCATAAAATACTATTCCAGTAGTGGTTCTCATATGCCTTTTACTTCTCACATCTACAGCATTCCATCTGTACTTTGTGTTATGGCCCCCTCATTCCTCATGGTTAGCCCCACTATCACACCCAACTCAGATTGGGTGGAATTTAAATTTAGCAATAACACCAAAGCGTGTCTGTATTCGTACTTTCCAGCCAGAACTGGCTGCTTAGTCTTTATCAGTGTTTGATATCTATGTAAGGAATGTATATGATGAGAATCTGGCACTGAGTTGTTAGAAGCTCACCAAATTATCATGTTTTTATTTGCTAGATCACAGTAGACAAGGACGCTGACGTGTTAAGACAATTTGAAAGATGAGGCGAAATACGGCCTTATTGATCACAATCTATATAGATGACAAAAAG